GCAAGTAGTTGCCTGTTTCAGCTCATCTTGTCTGAACTGGGCATTACACATGCTTCCCACAGTTATGATACAAGGCTGTTTGAAAATTGGCAAAATAGCCCTTTAAATAACTAGTTTAGAATCATTTCTCAATCTGTTTATGTAAACAATAAGTGTATGTAAGGACAAATGAGTCTCGTGATACAAATAGTGTTGTTTTTTTGCCTAATAACTGACATGCTAATATGCTGCTGTTTAGAAGGTAGACATTTATTATGTTCACCAACTCAGTTAAAATTCAAAGCACTAAACACAAAGCACAGCTGAGGATAGGAAGCGTTGGACACATTTAATAACCAAATAACCAAAGTTATTTTAATTAATCCTGAGGGAACTATAAACGTCAGGACCAAATTTCAGGACCATCAATAGAAAATGTTGCGATCATTAAAGGAACAACACATTTCCTTGTTTGCTGTCTTTAACCAGAGATGAGGAAATCTATTAGTTTGATGTGTTAGTTTAGTACAAATATACTGTAATAAACTGCATACTAAATCAGTTTTTGATATTCAGAGTTTTTACAAATTCAGTGCCCATTAAAAGGATTCATTGCCTTGAAAAACAAGAAAGCACATTAGCTTATTGCAAATCGTCCCCGCTGTGGGATGAATGAAGGATTATCTTATCTTAAATTATTGAACTGTTTCTTTAATTTACAACACAGTGCAGTGCCACAGCCGAAAGAGTTATCACATTTAGTTTAACATAGCACTTATAAACATGTTCATACATATAGTCTGTGTATATATAAACAGACACACAAGTTGATATTAATATTTATCTTTGTTTTATTTTCCAGAGATTTGTTCCGATTGGCTTCGACCTCTCGTTCAGCTGTTCGTCTCCATGTAGCTCTCCACCTGAGGAGAGATGACTTTGCACTACAAGTACAGTATTTGTGTTACTGTTGATAAGATAAGTTCACTCTGGTGTACTGATGAGTCTTTTTTAATGGAACTGATTTTGTTTGTCCAACACTGTTGTTGCCAGCCTTAATACAAGTCCAAAGAACGCTGCTAGGAAATCTTTTTAGAAACCTTTTTGTCTTAAACATGTGTATGAACACTCTCATGAGATGCTTTCTAAAGGAATAAGGGTTATTTCTGTGAAGTAATGCATCTTTTACACTGCAGGCACTCATGTTTGTCAATAATGTAGATGCACGCCTACTAGAAAAAATGTCTGTTAAATAAATCAAAAACTAAATGTTGAAAAAAAATTACGAATGTTTTTTATTGAAGACTCCGGCCGTTATCAGTGTTATAGCTTTAGGTTACATATAGATCAGGACGGCTCGGCGCATCTCACCAGTATCTTGTGTGGGTTCAAAATGATAAATGTTTGTAATGTACAGTGTTTATAATAAATGTATATATGTAACTGTCTGGTAATGTATGATTTTTCTCTCAGCTCTATAAATTATTTAAAGGGGCATTCCACTAATTTGTACAAATCCCACAGTTGTATAAAGTTTTCTGGAGGATCTTCCTAAAGTCTGAGTTACAAACTGGCAGCATGGAGTGTGAAAGATGTGGGCATACCTGTCATGTAATGATATGGTTGTATTATGGGACACGTGGGAACCATTGTTTTTAGAGCTGATTAATAGTCAGGTTTAGTGCCGAAATGATGACAACGACTTTGATAATCAAGAAATCATTTAAAAAGTAGTTCATGAAGAAAACATCAAATATTTGTTAGTTCAAGCCACTTAGATATCAGATTTGTAGCTCTTCTCTCTTTTGAAACATAGTTAATTGAAATTTAGGGGTTTCGGACTGAAAACAAGCACTTTGATAATGTTACCTTGAGCTTTTAGAGATTTGTTGGCATCAGCGGCTTTGATTGGACCTTTATTTTCTTTTTATCTATGGCTTGTATGTCCCCCCACTTTTATGTTGTTTTTTTTGGTTGATAATGTTTCTTATCGGAACTTCAGGCAGTTATGTATTCTAAAGTATGATGTAATGCTGTCATAGTTTACATCACCTACTCAGCATTAAAGATATGAACATGAAGATCATTTCAATTGCATGAAACAATATGCCAGGTTTTCCTGCCTTCCCCAGCTTGCCTCTGGACCAGGGGGGTATTCCAGAAAGTGGGTTATGTGAAAACTCAGAGTAAGTTAACCCTGAGATGAGGGAAACTCTGAGTTATCTGTTCCAGAAAGAGAGGTAACTGAAACTCTGAGTCAATCACCATGGTACAGACTCACAGACTCTGTGAACATAACCTGCTCGCTGACAGGTTTTCTTCAATAAACCCTGAGTTTTTCTCTGTCTCCTCCCTCTTGCACGCTGTTTCATTTCCTCATTCATTCAGTCTGTGTCAAAGCTTGTATCGAAGCGCATTAATTAGCGGAGATTTACCGTCTGTCACAGTCTAAATCCTGCTAGTTTGTTACTCAGGACTGTCTTAAGTTACTGAATTTATGCACATCAGTCATTTCTTTGGACATCGGTTTTTGTCTTAACATTCAAATATTACACAGCGAGAATTCACCCTCAGCTCAGAATCAAACTTCTGTCCTTTTTATATTTATTATTTTTTATAACACTGTGCACAAGGATCAGACTGTCAGTCTGTTAGAGCAGCTCCGAAATGTTTATTGCACATAATGTGTAGGTCTAATTATTTAAATTTTAAAAATCGGTATGAAGCTTTAGACATGTAGTATCAATGACTAATGATCTCTATCACTGATGTCATTGGTTGCACTGATGGAACATAATTCCTATAGCCTAATATTGGGGATTATATGTTAATATTTCTGAGTGAGCAATGATGCAGCATTTCAGTGTCTTTAAATTTACTACATTTGTAGCTGAAATAAAGTCACTGAATGCTGTTGAGTCAAGATACAAATAGATGTCCAACATTTTAAAATCTACTGTATTTTAACCTCAATGTCTTTTCAAGTGCAAATCACCAAACATATTATTACTGGGTCAGACTGTGAGTTTACAGTCATGTCTTTATGTCTTTGATCTATAGCCTAGCCTATATGTTTTAAATCTTCTGCCTCCTGTGTTTTTCCCCATTAGATTAAATCTGAACAAATATATTATTGTATATTATTAATATAATGTAATGTATCTACAGCCTGATACAGTCAGATTCCACCACTTTATCTTCATTAAGGAAATGCAAGTCTGATAAATGATGAATAAACAGACAACACTGAATAAAACTTTTTTATTAACTTTATGGTTAACTTATTTACATTTTCCTCGCTCTGACTCAGGCTCTCCTTTTTAAAGATAAACATGCACCGTCTGCTACACATGCATTAATATCTCTACATCCACTGGATTAAAATGGAGGCGCTGTCTTTTATTTACCTGTTGCCATGGTGAATCATGGAGTCGGAGCTCCATTGATGATGGCTTTTTATTGTCGGCTGAACTCAGAGTGAACATACTCAGAGTTGACTGAACTAACTCAAATCAGCTGTTCTGGAACCGGTAACTCAGAGTTTCCCATCTCAGGGTAAATCAACTCAGAGTTCATGGTTAGACTCAGAGTTTGTTGAACCTCCTACCTGGAATACCCCTCTGATGTAGAATTTAAGCATGTTTCAGTAAACATGTGACAAGGTGCATCAGCGTCTGGCAACGCGAGGGGTGAAAGAAAACACCAATGCACATGAGTATTGCGATACGTGTTGTGATACTATATCAATTCTCAAAAACACATGATTTTTAATTAATTTACATGCAAAGATTCGTGGCAGTGGTTGATTTTGCTACAGATTTAAACTCCCAACTACTCATGCTGTAAGCTATCTTCAGTCATTTGACTTTTCCACTCTAGCATTATCACAAAGAACACAGGCCTATGAAACAGGCAGAGTCATAAAGGGTGCACCACTAGCTTCTCTTTTAAAATCGCAATGTATCGCATTGCTTATAATATTGCAGTATATTGTAAAATATTATTATTATATTGGGGCGGCAGTAGTTCAGTCCACGCAGACTTGGATTGGGAACCGGAGGGTTGCCAGTTTAAGTCCCTGTGGCACCTCTCCAGCTTCCAGTCCGCACTCTGCAGGTGCAAGGTGCCCTTAAGCAGAAACCCCACACCGCACCAGTGGCGTCGTACTATGGCTGAAGCTGTGTTGTCCCACTAGTTTAATGCATGTGTTTAATGTATATAAAAGGGGATGTACAAAGAGGTACATTTCAACTGCCGATTTAGATTGTGTGGTTTGTTTGCTAAATTCAGAGCACTGATGTAGCAGCAAACAATTATTCGTTACGTAAAGATATAGAGGAGTAACAGCGTCCTGAGCAGAGCATGAAGTCACGCTGCCTCAGTGTGTTGTAATCCAAGCTTGTCCGTTTTTTGTTTTGGTGGACGTTCCGGCCGCACGTGCATGTTGGTGCATGAAAGTCCCTGTGTGTGTGCATCCCACTGGCTCGCTCTTCGTCGCAGCTTTGGACTGTGCACATGTGTCACTGATATAGGGATGCCATCATTACTAGCTGTGATGACAAGATTATAAAATTTCTTGATTTTGTGTTGAACAACTAATCTGTTAATTGACATGAGCTGTTCTGCTCAGGGCTAATTTCATGTGTAGAAATGTCAAAATAAACCAAAAAGTTTAAGATTTAATTATTTTTGTTGCTTTGTACATATTAATTGAAACTATAATGCCTTCAAACTGTTTCCTGCTACATAAGAGCCATGTGTCATTGTGTTTCCCCGTCTGTAACTGTCTCCTGCAGGTGGTCACTGGGCCTGATGTATATTTAGTAGAGTTGTGAGTGAGTGGTGGAGGGTGGAGGGTAGAGGGTGTCAGTGGGAGGGGGCTCGGGAACAGTAGTCTATAAAGCCCGTGCTTTCACTCGTGCCTCCCCTGAGGAGCAGAGAGTGACAGAAGAGCAGCTCTGTTCTTTCTCTTTTTTCCCCCTTCGTCGTGACCACCTGTTTGCTCAGGATCCTCTGGAAACATGTCCAAGGATCTCCACCCAACCACGGACCCCACAACAATGGGGGTGGGACGCTCCATTGCTGTGCTGACGTCAGGAGGAGACGCCCAAGGTAAGCAGAGGATGAGGCTCTATTATGTCATCACAGCTTTATTTTGAAGTACTAAAATCTAAAATGAGTCAGAGGGGAGTAAAAGCCCTCAGACAGCATCTTCCCTGATGATGAGACTGAGCACAACATTGAATCCCAACCAGCTGCAGGAGCTGCGGCCTCTGAGCCAATAAAGTATCATGTTAATGCTCTGATCTGCACGACATCTGATTAAGTTCAGGAGCCAGAGAACAGAAAGGGCAAGCAACATTTTCCAAGATGTTAGAGTGGCACAGTTGAAGGCCAGCTGTCACAGGGTGATGGATGTCTGGCTGTGATGATAGAAAGATTATGTCTTGGATTCATGACACCACGTGTGTTTTATGAAGGTCCAGCAAAGTTTTAAATGTCCTTACATGTGACAGACAAAACACAGAGTCAGTTGTGTAGTAGATTAAGAAAATCATTAAGATATTTATACAGGCCGGGCATGGGATCTGATATCTAATTTCATCACGGATCACAGTTAGTTGTGGTGAATTTCCATTACTGGGATTATCATGGATATCATGTCCAGCAGCACCCAAAGAACCTGCTGGGCAACCAACAATAAAAGAGACTGTGAAAGCAGGCTGCACACACACCAACCTCAAAAACCACAAGATTTTAATCAAGCATTGGCATATTTTATATTCGAAGATATGATATTGTAATGTGATATGGCACAACTTCACGACCGTCAAAACAGTTAATCAAACCATGTAACTTTGAAATGTATTTCTATTTTTTCTCTTTCTTTCTCGCTCCCCTTTTTCCAATTTACTATTCTTACATTTTATTTTATTTTTTAATTTATTTCATTTTTGTCTTGTACCCCTTTTGCAGATTTAATGTTGTTACATTTTATTTTAGTTTAGTTTAGTTTCCTTCCCCTTTTACATATTTACTTTTGTTACGTTTCATTTTATTTTATTTTATATTATTTTTGTCTCCTTCCCCTTTTTCTGATTTACTTTTGCTACATTTTATTTTATTTTATTTTATTTTTGTTTCCTTCCCCTTTTACATATTTACTTTTGTTTCATTTTATTTTATTTTATTTTTGTCTCCTTCCCCTTTTTCTGATTTACTTTTGTTACATTTTGTTTTATTTTATTGTATTTTATTTTGTCTCCTTCCCCTTTTACTGATTTGCTTTTGTTGCATTTTATTTTATTTTTTAATTTTATTTTATTTTAGTCTCCCTCCCATTTTACTGATTTACTTTTGTTAAATTTTATTTTATTTTATTTTATTTTATTTATCTTTTTTCTTTTCATCCCTCTCCATTTACTTATTTACTCAATTATATTAAATTCATTTAATTTCATTTTACTTAATTTGATCTTTTTCTTTAGTTTTAGTTTGGGCATTGCTGTGCCATGCCATGGAGGGTGGCAGGCGGAGGGTTGGGGTTGGGTGGGCAGAGAAAGCTTAGCATGATTATATAATGAACCTTCATCTGTCTATTTCTGTGAAACTCAATAAGCTGAATATCACATTGATGAAAAGAAAGATATGATGCCATTTCAAATAGTTGAAAAGCCTGAAAAAAAAAAGACATGTGCCCCGTCTATTTGTTTCTTAACTAAATGTAAGATAAGGTGATTCCAGTGTGTTTAAGTTCAGCTTTAAGAGTTGTATTTTGATGATTATCGGGATGATATCATGAGCGGAATTATTTTGGCCAGGAAAACTGTGACATGAAATGTACTGATCATCTAATGCCTAACACAGGCTGTGTTTTCCTTTGTTAAACATAAAAACAGGCATTAGGCTCCTATAACAAATGACTCCATCAACTCTAATTGAAGTTTAACTGGACAGTATCTCATTTTCATGTCATATTCCTGTGCAGTCTCTCCAAACCTGCTCTACCCCTTTCTGTTATCTGCCCAAGTGTCCCCTTATTTTAACGTCTTTGAGGCTAATTTTAGTGATGATGACCTTTTTCTGGTATGAAGAAGAGAAACGCCCCCAATCCTCAGCTGCTGTCTGGTGAAACAAGAGCTGCAACATGCCAGGCGGCCACAACACAAGCTCACACTGTGGCCTTTAATGTACTGGACATCCTAGGGAGAGATGGTACACAAGACATACAGTCCTACAAACTATTTTTGTCTCATCTGGAGCCAGTGTGCAGGTCAAGTCACTAAAAAGTTAGGTCTTAAGATTATATCTGACAAGAAGTGTTGAACAGGCTCTGACATTGTCTTATAATGTGAGTAAATCTGACCTCAGTCATCATGTGTCATTTGTGTCTCAGGTATGAACGCTGCTGTGAGAGCCACAGTCAGAGTCGGTCTCTACACTGGAGCCAAAGTCTACTTTGTCCATGAGGTACGGGCCACATGCAGTGTACAGTGCACTGACATGTCATGATGCTGCAAATAAAGACAGCACAGGGATCCTGAAACTTTGCACTTTATCGTCATGCACCAAAACATCAAAACAATTCCTTGTATGAACATATCTGCTGTTTCTGACACTGATAAAAAGCAGTACATCAGGCATAACTGTGTCTTTGTTCAACCTCAGTGTGTGTTAACATGTTGCTGCAGGGCTACCAGGGTCTGGTGGACGGAGGAGACAACATTCGCCCGGCTACATGGGAGAGTGTGTCCATGATGCTGCAGCTGGTGAGTGATGTGCAGCCGAGTAAACACACTCAGAGCAGCGTTTGTGGTGTTCTATTTTTTATTTATGTCATTTTTTAAATTGTTTTCTCAAAGGAAAACCATACATTCAACACCTGTAAAATGTATCACAGCAAAATGTCAAAATATAGGCGAGGTACACCCTGGACAGATCACCAGACTATCACAGGGCTGACACATAGAGACAGACAACCATTCACACTGACATTCACACTTATGGGCAGTTTAGAGTCCCCAGTTAACCTAACTTGCATGTCTCTGGATTATGGGAGCAATAGAACCCCTAGAAAACCCATGCTGACACAGGGAGAACATGCAAACTCCACACAGAAGGGCCCTGGCTAGCCAGTGGATTTGTACCCAGATCATTTTGTGTGTGTGTGTGTGTGTGTGTGTGTTTTTAAGATCTAGTGTGTAGGATTAGTGGCATCCGGGGATGAGTTTGCCGAACTGAAATTTCTCCTGTGTGCCAAGTGTACAGGAGAACTACAGTGGCCAATGCAAAACCGGTGACGGCCCTATCTCGAGCTATTGTTTGATTTGTCCGTCCTGGGCTACTGTAGATCAATATAACAGACTCCATAGAAGAGGTCCCACTCCCTACATAGATATAAACAGCTCATTCTAAGGTAACAAAAACCCAACACTTTCCTTTTTTCAGGTGATTATACACTGATGAATACATAATATAAAACATTTCTGCGAATACATGTCCCTAAATCCTACACACTGAACCTTTAATTAGAAAGGCTGGAGCTCTTCAGGACATCACGTTACTGTAACAAAAACCCCTCATATTTAAATGTAGATATCTTGCCTCTCCATCAGTTTCGAAAATAATATTTCATAGGAGGAAATTTTGGCTATGTCGTCTATCCATTCCTTCACTGATATATCTCCTTTAGTTCTCTAGTGTCACAGCATAATGCCACATCAAGTGATAAGTAGTATTGTGCACCAGAAGATCTGGCGAGCATTAAGACCATCTTTCTTTGGCAAAACACCTAGTAGGCAAACAGTGAGGAAGTCATCACTGCATTGAATAAAGGTGATAATCTTAGACCATAGAAGGTTTATCATGGGACATGTATACAACATGTGTGAGAGAGGGCCACAAGTAACATCACCTCTCCAACACAAGCCAGAGCTTCTGTGTCCTAGTCTTACCATTTTACTCAGGATCCAATAAGTTCCACTGATAATTTTTTAATAATCAGATGTGTCTGCATTTGTTTGTGTTTCCCGGACACATACCTTTACTGCTGTCCAGCCATGCAGATGTAGTTTTGGTTTGTTTTTTGTTTTTTTTTGAGGAACACAGGTTTTATATCATAGAGATCCAACCACACTATCATTCAGTCCTTGACACCATTTTACTATTACAAAACAGTCTGAAGTGTCAAAAGGAAGCATTTAGATGCATAATTCAGATATTCCATGTCTTTTTAAATTTGTTTTTCAATACCTCTGGTACCGTCAATCCACCCTCTTAAGAGCTAGGACAGTGTTGACAGTCATACCTCTAACACAGCATGCAAACTCTCCTTGTCAGTAGGTGGTCAGTAGTATCTGAAGGACAGATAAAATTGACCTTGGCCTGGCTGGACACAGAGGTTAATGAGAAGATTTATTTATTTATTTTGTTATATGGGCAAACTGATCCTTTAACCTTTAACACATCTACTCCACTTGCAGTCAACATCTTCCTCATTACAGGCGCTGATAACACGAGAAACATGAATTTTGAGTGATGACATTAAATGACCTTGTCCCCTGTAACTGAAGGATGATGGAGATGTAATCATACAGTTCGGTCTTGTTTCACGTTTCCTTCAATCATCTCAGTCCTGGGAGGTGAAGATGGAATGATGAAGCTAAGATTTATGAAGTGTGTGTAAGTGAGCGGTGGTTTTGGGAACGAGCCATGGTAAATTTCAAGGATATCACTTCTAAAGTGTCTATTTTATTTACTCAAAACAGGATGCAGCCTCACTCAGTGTGACTCCAAGGCATCTTAATGAGTCGCTCTAATGCACATCCCTCCTAATATTTTCAAGTAGTAAATATTGGATACCTGTGGTGGAAAATATTGTGGGGTTATATGTCAGCACTCACTGCATTATTACATTCTTCATCCTTTAAAGGAATAAGATGTTTGTGCATCAGTTACTGTATCTTCTCCTCTCACATGTCAGGGAGGTACTGTCATTGGCAGCGCTCGCTGCAAGGACTTCCGCACCAGAGAGGGTCGTCTGAAGGCAGCATGTAACCTAGTGAAGCTGGGCATCACCAACCTGTGTGTGATCGGAGGAGACGGCAGTCTGACAGGAGCCAACCAGTTCAGGACTGACTGGAGTGCACTGCTGCGTGACCTCATCCAAGCTGGTAAAGAGACAAATGTTGAGGGAAACTGTAAAATCCTGCAGCTGTATTCCCTCAGTTGTGTCAAAATCTCAGCCTGCACTCTCTGTTTCCTCATCCATCACTAAAAAATGGTATCATGTGCCTTCATGAGGAAGTGCCTCTAAAAAGTTTTCACCCCCTTGGACCTATTGGCTATGGTCAGTTTGGTTCAACCTCAACATCTCAACATCTGTTAGATGCATTAAGATAAAATTTGGTTCACACATTCATGGTCCCCAGTGTATGATCCTAATAATCCAATAAAATGGAAGGTATTCAACAGATCTATGATCAACGGGCGAGTAAAGGAAGAAATACTGTTTCCAGGCATATGTTTCTTGGTATCAATGTTACTATCGTTGTTCTTAAAAAATTTCTGCAGGTAAGATCACAGAAGCAGAAGCCAAGAAATCTTCCCACCTGAACATCGTGGGCATGGTGGGCTCCATTGACAACGACTTCTGTGGCACCGACATGACCATTGGCACTGACTCCGCCCTGCACCGCATCATTGAGGTGGTGGATGCCATCACCACAACTGCACAGAGGTCAGATATCACTGTAGCGCTCCCTCCATGCATACAGTGACGGACAAGATTAGTTTTATTTACTCAGTCACAGATTTATTCACAGATTCATTTTCTTATACAAAATATTCTTAACAACTCTACTTTTTTTTTGTATTTGTAAAAAATGCTCTCTGTTCATCCACAGCCACCAGAGGACGTTTATCCTGGAGGTGATGGGCAGACACTGTGGGTCAGTACCTTGTGTTTTTATCTCAACATGCATCACATAAACAAATTGCTGTTTCGTGTTTAGTTCAGGGTAAAAAATAACATTATGAACAGTAAAACCATCACAGATATTTTTAACAATTGCTTCATTCAAGGAATCCAAGTGGTTTAAGATGGTGACATTGTACTTATAATGTCCCTGTTTAGAGAGTCATTGCATCCTATCTGTCTTTCCCCTCATTTCTTGTCACATATTTATTGTTGGCTATTGAAACTAAGGGCAAAAAAAAACAGAATTTCATACCTCAACAAGTTGTTTCAATAGGGTTCACACAGTATATCAACATAAGGATGCAAGATGCCCTCAAAATAATGTTTACTTATGCCTGACGTATATTTTCTCAAAAGCCCTGAATCTTTCAGGTTTATACCTTCAACTTTGTGTCGTACAGATAATAATTTATGCCCCTGTTGTTTATCCTACTGTGCTGTTCCCTAAAGAAATCTCACATATTAGAGTAAATGTTCTTCTGTTGGCCTATTAAAGACCACATTCAGTTTGGATTGTTGATCCTTAATTTGTAATTAGAGCAGCCCAGATGATTATGGCATAGATCTAACTGACTTGTCAGCTTAACATTTACACTCCAGCATAGTGAAACAAAATTACATTTCAAGATTAGTAACCTCCTTCACACAAAATTCCTAGGCAAGGCAAGTTTATTTAAATAGCACAATTCATACACATCAGCAATTCAAAGTGCTCAACAAGTGAGCAGATAAATGAGTCACAGTAGAATACAGTTACTAATAAAACCACTAAAAGAGCCTCAGGAATAAAAGATTAAAAGGGAAGAGTGCATTAGATCAACTAAAAGAACATACATCAGTTAACAAAAGGAGAACAGCTGATGAGTTAGATTTGAAGCTGGCTACACTTGGAGCACCTTTTATACATATAGAGAGTTGGCACCAGTGCTGAAGAGCATAGCAGCTACACCAATTTTGTTATATAACTAAAAGAAGTAACATTAGACAAATTTTGCCTCTCTTCAGGTGGCAATACGAACAGTAAGTCAGTATCTGTTGTGTTATAGTGTCAGAATAATGAAGACAGGTGGAGAACAATTAGATGTAAAATACAATGAAGGCTCTTCAGGATGTTTTAATTGCAACTTTCATGTCATCCCCAAAGGATGTACAGATTTTTAGGCATTCTGTTTTCTCAAATGGATTGAAAAATGGTGCGTACAGCAGCTGAAAATGGGAAGGAAAACATCGCTCCAGGGTAGCATGTCCCAGACACCCTTACTGTAGGTTTGAGTTGAGTCCTGAGTGTCTTGCTCCCCCCCTGGTACAGATGTTGTTGGTAAATGGGTTTATCTTGTGTTTGTGTCTGGCTGCAGGTACCTGGCCCTGGTGACAGCTCTTGCCTGCGGTGCAGATTGGGTGTTCATTCCAGAGATGCCACCAGATGATGACTGGGAGAACCACCTGTGCAGGAGGCTGACAGATGTATGTGTGTCTTTATTTGCAGATGGAGATTCCCTCATCATGTGTAAACATAGTGTCAGTCAGATTGCACACACATATTTTTATTCCCTCTTTTTGTTTTTGTTTTTAGCAAAGAGCCCGAGGATGTCGTCTGAATGTGATCATTGTGGCTGAGGGTGCGATGTCCAGAGATGGCAAACCAATTACATCTGACCAGATCAAGAAGGCAAGTCCTTCTTTCTAATGTCAGTGTGGTAAAGTGTTATTTTGAGTTGTGCAGACAACATGCCGCTAACAGGTGGACTCATTTTTCACCAGCTGGTGACTGACAGGCTCGGCTTTGATACTCGCACCACTATCCTCGGACACGTACAGAGAGGAGGAACACCGTCCGCCTTCGACAGAATCTTGGTAAATGTCTCAATAAAACACCAACAGATAAAGGCCAGTGAGCACCTCATACACAGACACCTGATGATCTGACTGTGTGTGTGTGCGTGTCCAGGGCAGCAGGATGGGTGTGGAGGCAGTGATGGCGCTGCTGGAGGCCACTCCAGATACTCCTGCCTGTGTGGTCAGCTTGTCTGGGAACCAGGCAGTCAGACTGCCGCTCATGGAGTGTGTGCAAGTGGTACGTCAAAATATTTACTGTACTTTATTGCTTGTGTTCCTCTTTGTGTTCTGGAATTTTGTGTGCCCTGACATCCCAGTAAGGGGTTTCTTCATTTTTGTCTCTGTCGCTCACTTTGCTACAGACCAAAGATGTGACTGCCGCCATGGCCGAGGGCAGATTTGATGAGGCCATCAAGCTCAGGGGAAAGTGAGTATTGTCCTCTTAAATGTAGCGGAGTGTAATCATAATGAGCAGTCCCATTGATACATCATTTTAAAGCATCATTATTAATTCATAATTTGAAAACATGGGAAGGAAACAGAATTATTACCTGGTAAATGAAATGATCTTTTTAGTTAGATTTGACTTTTTATAATTTGGTCAATTTATTAATTGACTTAGATACTGTGAAAGTCTATAATAATTTTGTTGTCACACTCCAGGCTTCATATTAGCACAGTCTCAATGCAATGAACAGAGGAAATATACAAGATAAAGTACAAACAGAAAGTACAAACCCATCAGTCTTATCACAGAAATCGATTAATACCAGAATTCAAACAAGTAAAAAGAAAAGAGTGTATAGCTCTGAACAACCATTACTCAACCTTATTTATGGTGTGCAGGAGTTTTGAGAACAACTGGAACACATACAAGCTGCTGGCTCACATCAACCCCCCAGACACTAAGGTAAGGACCGTCCGTTAATAAAGATAAATTAAAAGTCAAGATTTTACCATTTACACCATTATTTTTTTTCTCAATAACTTACTCTTCTGTCATCTCCTTCTCTCTCTCTTACTGACCAGAGCAACATCAATGTGGCCATCATGAACATTGGAGCTCCCTGCGCTGGTATGAACGCTGCCGTCCGTGCTGCAGTCAGGATGGGCATCATCCAGGGTCACTCCATGTTGGCTGTCCATGACGGCTTTGACGGTCTGGCTCATGGACAGGTACATATATATTCCCCCCTTTGCCCAGACCTCCTTTTGTTATGATTTGGTGAAAAATACGTATATTTACTCTTACCTGTGCTGTTATTTATCAAGCTAGATTGTTTTGGTGTGAGTTGCAGAGTGTTGGAGATATCAGCCATAAAGATATCTGACTCCTCTCCAATATAATGGGACTAGATGTAGTGTTTAAAACGCCAAAAAAATCCATTTGAAAAGCTCAAAAGCAATGTCTCTTTCCAGAAAGCATGACCCGCGGTTAATGTAGATAATGTACAGACCTATTTTCTTTCTAATAAACTACACCCATGGTCCAATCTGCGACACCAGACTGGAGCTCAGACATCTGGAGAGAGCTCGGAGTGGAGTCTCTGCTCCTTCATGTTGAAAGCAGCCAGTTGAGGTGGTTTGGGCATCTGATCAGGATGCTTCCTGAGAGTCTCCTGTTAGAGGTGTTCTTGGCACATCCAAATGGTGGGAGGCCCTGGGGCAGACCCAGAACACGCTGGAGGGATTATACATTATATCTCATCTGGCCTGGGAACGCCTCAGGATCCCCCAGGAGGAGCTGGAAAGCGTTGCTGGGGAGAGGGACGTCTGGGGTGCTTTGCTCGGCCTTCTGCCCCTGCAACCCAGCTTCAGATAAGCCATTGAAAATGGATGGATGGATGGATGGATGGATGGATGAACTACATCTGTCAACTGCATCACCGTGCAGAAGGAAGCATGTTTCTACTGCTAGCTCACCTAGCACCACTGAGCTAGCTAACGTTACAGCTCAGCTGATACACTGTAAAACAAACCTTGAGTTATTTGCCTCTGTTTCCAAACAGTTGTTCATGTTTTAAAATTTGTTTTATAAAATATTCAGTATTTTTTTCTCATTTCAGGTTGAGCCTATCACCTGGACCTCAGTGTCTGGCTGGACTGGAAAAGGAGGCTCAATGCTGGGCACTAAGAGGTAAAACATGAGTCACTAGTCCTTTTTTTTTTTTTTTTTTTTAAGGCGGTACCGTTTCTGTCCTAATATTACAACTTCTCGCTGTGTAATTTTTCTCCCAAAGAACTCTTCCAGGTAAATTGTTGGAGGAAATCAGCCAGAATATTGCCAAATTCAACATCCACGCTTTGGTGATCATCGGTGGATTTGAGGTAAAAAGACATGACAGCAATTCTTCTTTAAAACCAGAGGTCATGTCAGTGTTGGCTGATCTCTCCCTCACCAGAACACCACTGAAACAAATCATCTTGTCCCTCGCTGCAGGCCTTTGTGGGAGGTCTGGAGCTGGTTCAGGCCAGAGAGAAATATGAGGAGATGTGCATTCCCATGGTGGTTATCCCCGCCACTGTCTCCAACAACGTCCCCGGCTCTGACTTCAGCATCGGTGCTGACACCGCCCTCAACACCATCACCGCTGTCAGTGCCTCAACAACATATAAACACAAATATGTACCAAACAAAACAGCCAAATTAATTTCTCCTGTGTTTCTTTTCTGCAGACCTGTGACAGAATCAAGCAGTCTGCGGCAGGGACCAAACGCCGTGTGTTCATCGTTGAGACTATGGGAGGATACTGCGGCTACTTGGCCACCATGGCTGGTCTGGCTGCTGGAGCTGATGCCGCCTACATTTATGAGGAAAAATTTGCCATTAAAGACCTGCAGGTGAGCTGATCACAGCATCTGTTGATCCAGGTTTCACATTAAAGAGTCTCTGCAGCTCAGACAGTGACATTTGTGTCTGTGGACTTCAGGTGAACGTAAGTCATCTCGTGGAGAAGATGAAGACAACAGTGAAGAGAGGTTTGATTCTCAGGTAGGTTTCAATGCAGGTGTGAAATGTATAGATTGTATCTTTCCAGATAACAGCACAATAATGTGTCACTTTAATTCGACGTTAGGAATGAGAACTCTAATGCCAACTACACCACTGACTTCATCTTCAACCTGTACTCAGAGGAAGGCAAAGGAGTCTTCGACTGCCGTAAGAACGTCCTCGGACACATGCAGCAGGTCTGTTCATGCTCTGAAGCGCCCAATCTACTTGGAATAGTTTTGTCCCCAAATCCCTAAATTACAATCTGATTGATGATGATCTGTTCTTTATTGACTGCAGGGTGGCACTCCAACACCCTTCGACAGAAACTTCGGCACAAAGATGGGTGCAAAGACTGTTCTGTGGCTGACTGAGAAACTCAAGGAGTGTTATAGGCATGGTATGTGAGCCTGAAATCAAATGTTTCTGTTGCACATTTTGAGAATTTATAATACCAACAAGCAGTTACTAAGTACATTTACTGTACATGGGGTGGGGGGCCCATAGAGAAAGCAGGCCATTGCAAGTGATTCAGTGTACCAGAAATATGCCTGTGTTTGAAGAGGAATGATAAAAGAAAAAAGAAAGAATGCATGTAAATTAAAAATTGTGCCATTTACTATATATGTCCTCAAAAAGGAAACCCATCTCTGTCATGGTTTATTCTCTCTTATGTTTTTATTTTTTGTAAACTAGTCAGTAGCAATTATGAACAAATAAATATGCTTATTCTACATAAACTATAAAATCTATAAATAAACTATTGAATTAAATTATTAAAAAACTTGGTTACTTTGCACAAATTATATGATTGTCTTATAAAATATGGTGTATTGTTGTATCAAACTACAGTTGATGAAATAGTTAAAATTTAGTAGTAAAATGCCACATACACATTAATGCATAAATAATCATAATCCAGTTATGTAATGTGTAGTCATATAACACTCACAGCACGGGGGGCAATAATGAATACTTCTAGTTTTGATACTAGCGTATATTATTTTGCAAAACCTTTATTTATCCGGTAAGTCCCTCTGACGTTGGGATCTCATTTTCGGTAAAGACCTGAGTACGTGTAAAAATAAATACATACGATACACAATGATATATATCAAAATATAAAAAACATGATGCAAAACTGTTAATACGTTTGTACTTTTACTTCAACTTGATTTTAATTACTGGACTTTTGCATGTAATGAAGTACTTTTACAATATGGTATTGCTACTTTACTTAAAGGAATACTTTGTATCTCCAAATGGCTATTTGTATATCAGTTACTCACCCTGTGTTACAATGAATTTGTGAAGAAAACTTAGCCTCCATGGTGAATTAAGAATCCAAAAGCAGAGAAAATTCTTGATGAGTCCTAGTAGTATATGTTTAAGAACAGCAAAACTACATCAAAACATCCCTTTACAAACTCACATTACTCGTGTGTTCAGTATAATCCAAATCTCATTTATCCAGTCGTATGCTCAGTACTTCTCAAACACATGCATTTTCACTAGAATCTTACTATTTAAAACTGAACTGAAAGGGAAACAGATCTATGTGCTCTTCAAAGCCAGACTCTATTGACAAAAAATTTAATTTTACCTCACTGATCATGGGAGCTGCTGGTCTAGCACTGCTGTCTGTTGTTTAGTTTGTTTGTATTACTGTGTACCTTTGGTGTTTTAAGGACTTAGTTTGAATTCACTTAAGTAACACAAACAAACTCACGGACTGAGGCAGAGGTAGACCAGCAGCTCCCATGTTCACTGAGGTAAAACTACTTTTTTGGTCAATGGAGTCTGGCTTTGAGGAGAGCAAGTTCTAAGAAGTTTTACTTCCACTTCAGTTTTAAATAGTGATAGTAATTTCAGTTCAATTCTCTGTTGGAAAGGGCTGTCTGTTTGGGAAGTGCTGAGCATATGACTGAATAATGAGACTTGGATTATACGAGGTGTGTGAGAGTTGGATGGATGTTTGTCATAGTTTTGCTGTTAAAGGCGGACCCCTTTTACTTCAGTTCATCAAGCGTTTTCTCAGTTTTTGGATTCTTCATTAGCTGAAGTTTTCCTCATGAATTCAACATAACACAGGGTGAGCAATGAATATACAAATGATAATTTGGGGGGTGAAACACTCTTTTCAATCAAGGATCTAAATACTTCCTCCACCACTGCCTACAAGAATTAATAACACTGTTTTTTGGAGGTTGATAGTAATGATGACTACATGGTATGTTAACTGTATTGTTTCACTTCCTGCGTGCATTAGGTCGTATCTTCGCCAACACACCGGACTCTGCCTGTGTGCTGGGCATGAGGAAGAGGGCGCTCACCTTCCAACCACTTGCTGACTTGAAAGGAGACACAGATTTTGAGTAAGACATGTTTCCCATATAATGTACTGTCCTGGTTACACGTTCAGTGGTGAATAATCTGCCTCCTCTGTCTGTTGCAGGCACCGCATCCCTAAGACACAGTGGTGGCTGAAGATCAGGCCCATCATGAAGATCCTGGCCAAGTACGACATCGAACTAGACACATCTGAACATGCCGACATGGAGCATGTGATCAAGAAGAGGAGTCCTATCGTGAAATAGGCTTAGTCTGCTCCCAAGAACAGAGCGAGGCAATTTTTCTGTTCCATTACATGAAGTATTTCTCTTATCCCATTAGTTGTCCACACACCTTGGTAAAAGAGCTGCAGTCTTATCCTTTCTAGTCACTGAAGTCCAGGTAATCTCAATCTGCAGCGATGCTCTGTAGCTCTCTCAGCTTCTAAAACCTTCAGTGAATTGGTTTTGAAAAAAGATACTAGATATCATGAAACAAATTAAAGATATATTTACAAAAATGTAATTGTTTGTCCTTTATGTGAAATAGAGCAGAATGTGAACTGTCCTGAGAAAAGGACAATTCACATAAAAAAGTATTAATTTGCAACAGTATCCTTGTATATGTACAGTAAAATGCTTCTAGACTACTCAGAAGTAAAGGTTGCTGCAGTTTTTATGACAAAGATGAGTGGGAGAAACAGCAACTGCAAAAGTAAACATTCAGGAAATACTGATACATCAATCCATCGTGTTGCATCCACGTACTACTGTTTATTGAGTCAGCTGCAGTTGTGGACAGGTAAAGATGGATGGTGCCTGGAAAATTGCCCGAAAATTGCACAGTAAATTTGAAATGACCGACTTCCTGTTGGATTTAAAGCATGGCTCAAGGAATCTTTTTTAAGTGTAGAGGTGATTCATCTGCCTCTGAAATTTTGTTCATCAAATTTAAAAGTGGGGGCTTTGAGGTCTCTGTAATCTGTGACATCCTTGTTGTACTGTTCTCTTTTGACAAGGCCTTCCAGACATATTTAAGATGTTTAACAAAATATGTCTGGTATGGTCCCACAAAATAAGTCCAAATACAACTTCAGATAAGTCATTTAGCATATTTACCATTACTGGTTGAAAAACAGTGTCTAAATTGCCTGTGTGTAAAGAGTTATTTTAGTAGAAGTTTCAGATTAATATAATTTAGACATGGTTTATGTGTGTTAAGCTAGCAGCCTGTAAGATCTGTCACCCAGTTACATATAAACATATTTATGAAGATTTCAAGATTAACTTTATTGTCCCATGAGTGGGAAATTTGTCTTGGGCTTTTTCACCCCTGCTGCAGCCATAAAACACACTGATAACACAACATAAAAACAGGTAATGAATAAATAGATAAATCAAATAAATAAATCAATAAATCAGTAGATAAATAATAGTGCAGCAGGCAATAAATAGTACAATATAGTAATAAATAGGAAATTAAAACAGTAAAGAAAAGATTTATAGTCATCCAGGTCATAGGACACCTGGAAGTGTCACGTCAATGGCAGCAGATTAACAGCGAGTCCAGGTGCCACACATCAAACAGAACGCTGCCACTGGTTATACCTGAATACCCCAGTCACTAATTCATAATATGTTTTCACTATTCTGAAGGGAATATAAGCAGTAGAACCATTTTTTTAAAAATCTACACCAATAATCAAACAAGCTATATTCAATTGTCTGTGTGACCTGTCTTTGAACAACCTTTTAGGGTTAGTTACATTGTTTTCAGTGGCTTATCACCTGATCCTGATTGCATCTCAGGTGGGATGAGAAGTGATTTCATCACAGCTTTTTTTCTTTGATTCTCCACAAAAGAGACCATTCATGAAATCAGCTGGTATTGACTCACCACCCATTATGAGCAATACCATGATAGCAGTGTATTGACTCAAAAATGTAGATACTTGCTGCCATATAAGGGAGCATATAGATGCATTATAGTGAGACGTGTCTGTATAAATAGCCTAAATACATTATATAAAATAATACAAGAACAGGAGTATCTAAATGATCATTGACTTGAAGGATGTTCAGGTCTACAGTGGAAAAAGTCCATGTTTGGAGCTGTATATTTAAATCATTTTGCTTCTTACAAGCATACTGTACAAATATGTTTTGAAATCAGAAAATTAAATATAATTTTTCTTTTGAGATCTTCTCTCAGGCTGGCTTGAATTTCTGTTTAAATTTCCAGTTTAGAAAAAAAAGATGGGAGTAATTTTTTTTATCATTTTAAACAGAACAACAAAACACGTGGAAAGCCTGCATATGTACACTGTACTCCACGGTAAATAAATAATAGAACAAGGACTTCATTACACCAAAAATTACTGTAGAAAACTACAGTGTGAATCCGGAAAAGGAAAAGGAAATGGTTTGTGCAGAGGTCACCGAGTGCTCGCGGTGGCAGCCGGGACGTCGGCGGACTGTGTGCCTGCGCTGAGGAAGGGTGCGTGTCCCCAGTGTCCGCTCCGGTCGCCCGGTTAGGAATGCGCCTCACGAACCCGGTGTGTGGTGTAATATTTGACGAGCCGCCAGCGGGGACTGTGGTCTAAGAAGAGTCATGGTTTGGCATCGCTTATACCATTAGTATCTCAGCGTGCAAGTTTGATTCATTGAGCTAGCTGGCGTTAGCCCGCTTCGTTGATTCATAGCACGCTAGGTCGCTAGCTTTAGTCTGTAGCATACGTGCTAGCCGGCTAGCTAGCTAGTAAGCTAGTTTCAGTGAGCTGCTGGCCAATCCAGTCAAACAGGAGAGAACCAGACCGACTGCTGAACCCAGCCGCTATTTCGGAAAGAGGAGGTGGTGGCAGGCGGGGGCCGGGAGAACGCGACGGGGTGGAAGTGAGTCAGGAGCGGCTGATGAGTTCAGATCAGAGCGTAGAGCCGCCGCTGCTGCAGGAGGAGGCTGATCCCGGACCGAAGACCGGTGGGAAGGACGAGGCTCCGCTGGGGAGCGAGGGAGGGTCAGGCGGCATGGTGAGTGAGGCCTTCTTTAGTTAGCTAGCGAGCTAGCTGGCTAAGCGATGCTGCTCATTGGAGACCTGTTAGCACTGTACGCCCCCCCCCCTCTGCGCGACCAGCGATGTTCATGAAGCAACAGCTAAAATTAACGCAACCAAGACATATTTTAAGCTACTAAGTTTCAGCTTGGCTTTGACTTTGCTGCTATTTGCGTAATCGCTGTCTGACAGGGTTTAATCGCAAGGTGTTATCGAGTATCAAGCGAAAACAGTCTCAGACACAGCGGCACTTGCACGACTAATAACTTGCAGCCAGTACAGGCAGGTGATTTTATACACTTCTCGTTAGCCTGCTCTCCACTGCAGCTCCCGTAGGTAGCTAGCTAACGTTAGCTTAGCTACTGTAACAAGCAAGCTCATTAAGTAGTTTGCTGAGTAATCATTAGCCTATAAGTTAAGTTATGACACAGCTGGAACTAAGAATGACGGCAGTGGTATTGGGAGCATATAAGTACTGATTGAGTTGTTTTCGATGTGTAGGTAATCGATGCCTAACGTTAGATTACTGGCCGAAGGGTAAACGTTCATTCACCATCGTTATCTGTTAGCTAATCGTGCTGGTAGCTAACGGAGCTAGCGCAGTGACATGCGTTGCAAATACCTGGCCTGTGCTGCGCAGCGCAGTCAGCTGACAATTGGCTCACCACGGCCTGTAACACAGAAGCATGCATTGTAACCATGTGTCAAGTTGCACGGCACATAAATGTTAGTGCTCCTTTTTAACGAGACTGAGGCCTAAACGTGTGGCACAGCCAGTCTTGTCTACTTGGAGGAGAGAAGTGTCTTGAGTGATATTGTGACCGTCAGCTGCACTCGTCAGGCCGGGTGCTTTAGCTAAAAGGGGGGAGGATCTATTTGCAGGTGGCAAGTGACAATGTCAAAAGAAGAAGCTGGAAAATTTGACAGTTACTGGCGTTTCAGAGTTAGTGTACAGTTGTCATCCATTCCTCTTTGGATTAAAGAGCAATCCACCATTGGTTCATGTCAGGTTCACATCATATATCTTAATGGGTACAGTATGTGATCTATTCTTGGCCACAGATCTTTGCAGGGTCAGGGTTTCACCCCCAGAGCCCTTTTGATATGGAGTGTCACATCTAATCCTTCATTAATGTGCATCAAACACACAAGTATGTTGGTTAAAGTAACACAAAGTACTGCTGACATCATGCTTGTTGTTTTTATCAGCATTTACCACACAGACTTTGTGGTTACTAGAGGCTTTTATAATGGTTCTCCTTCTCAAGGTTAACAGGTTAATAGCCTCCTTTGTCTGCAGGGGCGCTTTGTGGTACATTTCATTGCACTTCTCTGGTTTCCAATTAGATGCCATTGAGGCCCAATGGTATGCAGGTGTTCCTGCCATCCTTAGATTGCACCAGGTGATTTTAGTTAGTGGCCCCTCAATATAAGGTTAGAGTAATTAGTGAACTCAGCAGGTGTAGTGATGGTTGGTCTCAGTCCTGAACCACATTATTAGAGACCATGCTTTTCCCCTTGTAGAAAAATGCAAAGTTTGGTTGTTGTTCCCGTTTTGTGTTTTGTCTGAATGTTAATGCATTTGTGATAGCAGAGGTGCCTTTGCACAAACAGTACTGCTGTAATGTTTGTCCAAACAACAAAAGGTAAAGTTTAATTTCAGTTTCTGACAAACAAATTGGTCCGTCAATTGTTTTAATTCCATCATTGTCTTGTATTTTATCGAGTGTTAAGTGTTTTGTGAATTGAAGCATAATGGTGGCGCTGGGCAACTAATGTTTTATGTATTGTTACATTTATATTCTCCATGTCTATTTTCATAATTACATCATGTTATCATGTTCCCCTCAGATTTCCAACTTTACGACTTTAGGTTTCCTACATTTAACAGCCTGTTAGGTTTCGTAGTGCACTGAAAATGTTTGCTGCTGAGTGCTCAACGTTGGATATAAAAAGCAACTCAATGTGTTTGTGTTGATAAATGAGTGTTAGTAGCTTGACAGGATAGGTGCAAAACATGCCATGTGCTGTAGTGTGTTTAAAATGTCTTGAACAGATCATATTTTAACAGTAGTCTGGGAATGAGTGTGATGCCAGTCAGAGATGAGACAGCAAATCTGGGGTGAATCAGCGAGAATATTAAATACATGATGTACATCATTGTGTAGGTCTCAATTGCAGATAAAACATATCATTCACATATTATAAATCTGCCTGAATACAGAAATTAGTCTTTCAAAATGCAGCAGTCCAATTTAATAAATACTTGTTGTCTCTATTTTGTGTGTGTGTGTGTGTGTGTGTAAAAAATGTTTGAATATGCTCAAATGCAAACATCTCTCTGCTTTTAATGTTGATAAGAGTTGAACTTGCCTGATCCTGCTGTTTGCTGGTTTGAAGGTCACCTCTAAGGGCGCCGGTTTGAACCCAAATGCCAAGGTGTGGCAGGAGATGCCTGTGGCCCCCAGCGAGGCTGTTACCAACAGCCCTCATTGGCCCCCCTCAGACATCAGTGAGGGTGAGACGCACATACATCAGCCCAATTAAATATCCCATATTTAAACTCATGCTTGTTTTTTCTCATACAGAACATTAGAGTGTGAAAACAGCATTCTCTTTGGACAGTGACATCCTGTGTAATGATACAAACACTGACTCTTTACATTTGTTCTCAAGTGTAAACTAAATGGTTAGCTGTGGAGTTTTTTTTACCTTTTTGCCAACAACACACATCTATGTATTAAATTACACACAGTACTAGCAAAACCTTGGGAGATGTATGGACAAGGTGAAGAAGCCCTGGAAAAATCTGCTGGTTCTGAACTCTTTACC